GACACTTTATCAGTAGCAATTCTGTTAGGAACAGCAAATAAGCACACTAACTGATATAAAAACAATACTTGCAACCTCTGCTTTGACTTTCAACCCCAACTTGATAAACATATCTGATCCAGGTTTGCTTTCAATTGGCATACTTTTTTTTTTTTTTTTTTTTTTTTTTTTTTTTGAGAAGAGCCACCTATTGGTAAGAACACCTACTTTATCTACAGACAAAATACAATCAATACTAACTTGATATCAAAAAGATAATAATTAAGGAAGTAAGCGGTTTTGCTTATTTTATCTTAGAACTTTTTGCAAATGAATTGTGTTAATGTGTTTCTGAACCTTCAGAAATTTGTACTGGTTGCAATAAAACACTTAGACTGACAACTCATTAGTAGATTTGTCATCAAAATCAGGAACCAGACGTAGGTATATCCTGTCAGGTGGTTGTCTGATAGCCCTTCTCAAATGAAGAGGCAACAGCTTTACATATTAGCATGCAATTTGCATTCCCTGCTCCAGTTCCCTACGAGAAAATAGAAAACACACACAAATGGATCCTCAGAGTTAAAATAAAGTAAATGGATTGCAATGTGGAAGTCCGGTAACTGTTCAAATTACATCAAAACCCACAAAGTGTCGTATCTACACAAGTTGTGATTGTCATACACGAAAGTTTGCCAATAGATATTACAAATGACTAAAATTGCTTAATATAATCCTACTAACACTTATACAAGTTACTTCTCATGTGTAACAAACTAAAAAACACTGAACGAAGAACCTTTCTGCACTTACAACAAACAATGTGAATCCAGTGAACCCAAGACCTGCTGCCAGTTGCAAATTATAGGTTTTCTGTTTTCTTTGATTTCGTAGAGTCCATGAGCCCTGAGGAACTGGCAGCTCATTCATCGAAGGTGGTTTGAAGGGTAGGTTAGCATACTGTCTGGTGGAGCTAACTGCAAGGAAAAGTATATGTTCAGACATCCATACTATGTTCTACTCTCAGATAAATTATGAATGGTAAACATGTGTACATTATGGCCCTTTTGGTAAGTACTCCAGAAAAGGGTAACATACTTCTGATCTGTCTATTCTGGGAAAATAAGAGCAGTGCTACAATCGTGTTGGACTTTCAATTGTTGGTTCTATTTGTAACTATCCTAAAAAACACACACACACACAGAGCATATATAAATATATAATTATATAATATTATATATATATATATATATATATATATATATATAATATATATATATATATTATAGTCTCATCTTGTTCTTTATATTTCAGCCAAAGAGAAATAAATCTAAATAGACAAATGGGCCAATATTTCTTATAGAATTGTGTAACCTACAATCGCTAGGACAACTAAAATTTTCTGAAGATTAATAAATGGAATGAATATAAAATAACTAAGAAAACATGAATGACCATACAGTGCACATATTAAAAGTTGTAAATGTGGTGGAAATTGTTACCAATGGGATAACTTCCCTGAATAATTCCCTATAATTCTAGTTAACCAGTTAACACCCTAATCTAACCCAAGCTCAACCTGTTTCTAAATTTAAACCTAACCTACATTTTCAGAAGACCACTGATCAACCTTCCCTTCAGGGAGTACCCAAAAGGCACACCCAGTCACAGCAACTGAGATTGCTAAGAAAATTTTTTGAAAAGGGGTTGGGACTTTAGTTTCTAGTGACTGTGTCTGTACTGTAAAGAATTACTAAATACTTTACTGCAAAAATACTGAATGAACACCCTGCTTCATCAGTCACACAATATTCACAGGCCTAATGAGAGAAAAAGCATAAAGGAATACTACCGTACCAATTACATCAACTTAATCAGCATCTTACACGCACCAAATAAACTTAAACTTGTCCCATATATGTATTTTTTTTCTATATTTTTCTTACCTTATGATCATGGAAAGTATGAAATCATGCAATGACTGTAGTGGACAAAGCTGTGGATGGCATTACGTAGCAACATATCCTAAGCTATTGTTCCATCTGAGGGAGCTCATCTTTCTCAGGTTGTACTGACATCATTTGATACAGGTACTTATTAGATTATTTTCCAAATACAGCCATAAGCTATTAAGTGCCTAATGTTGTGCCTGAAATACAGAATGAGCTAGGTGCAAACAGGGAAAACTGCCAATGCGTGCCGACAAACCTGAATTACTAGCCAATCGCCAATTTTTAACATCATAATTAATGATTTAACCTATCAGCTGCTGTTACATATACTGTCCACTGTAGTTTTAATGAATTATGTTAAATGGCTCCACAAATACTCAGCCACCTAAGAGTCTACTAGTAGGCCCTAATAATCATGCTTGCTTCACCTAGGTCTGTACGGCAAGATAGTGACCATACTGTTACAAATAAAACAAATTCCTTTGTATCTGGAACAAACTTTTGTTCACTTCTTTCTACTGTTTGGATTCCTTTATTTTTGTTTACTTTTTTGGCATTTGGAGTACATGATGGGCTCATGTATCAAACAGGCATGGTTAATAAAGTATTTCTTCTTCTTTGCCACTTTACATTAGTCAGAATGACCCAGAATTGATGCAACACTGAAAACTAAACATCTCTCACCGGCTTTCTATAATGGAATGGCCTTTATCAGCCTGTTAAATCTTGTGCTAATGAAAATGTGCAAGAGGTTATTGTAAAGAGCTGTATGAATAAGTCTTAAAACATGTGGTTTATCTTTATGGTATGGACGAACTAAGTTTGGGCAACTTGAATATGATATTCTTGTTGAGGACAAAAAGTTGCAGTCCTCAGTATAAGAAATAATTTGCAGATACAGACGGTAGTGCCTCAAATAAAATAAAAATATGACGGAAAGCTCTATCTTGCGATGCATACTCAGGTGAAGACAATGTTTCCCAGGGGTGTTGGGGGGGGCAGTGTTCCCCATCAACCCTCCCTTTGGGCAGTGCCCGAAAGAAAACTCAGTAACGGCAACTTAGAATGATTAATTAATTTTGTGACATGGAGTTTAGCACTTTGTCTCTGGCGAGTGTGCCCATACTGAAAAGGATTACCAAGTACGTAAAGGAAGTATTACATAAATAAGACGTCAAAAACATAAACTTTGAAGTGCAGACACTGATAATACGCAAAATATCATTTTGACAAGTGCGTAGTAACACATGAACTACTTGGCATATGGCATATCACAGTAACAAAATATGTGGTCGGTACAAGATGAGAGACAGTCTCTGAGTGGTGATATGCTCAGGATATTTTTGTCATTTAAGAGGTGAATATGAGGCTGCTGCAGCTGAACTATTTTGTTTCTAACTTTCTTATGCTCTATAAGATGGCGGTGTCCATTTCCCTTTATCTCCGTGTGTTGCTCTCGGTAAGTTATACTAAAGGTTTTTAAAATACTGGTAAATTACAAAAAACCAAGGAAACAGATAAATTATGAGAAAGGTAGGACTATTAACTGAAATCTTGACGACTAAATAATTGTGGAGTCCCCTCTATATAAAAATTTATAAACCAAAATTACTGTAGACATGGCGTATATGTAGATCTGTACCCTCCACACTAATGGTATCTCTAGGGAATAAACAAAAGGTAGGACCTGAATTTTTAAGTTCACAGGATATTTAAATCTGGTTTTGGATTTGTCTCTGGAGGATGCAATGCTTTTTTCTAATAGTTCCACCAAACGGATTGTGATGATCTTGGTATTTTTGGATTCCTCTCGCTCTCTAGTTTCTAAATAAATGGAATCTAATGCACAGAAACCACCCAAACCCAACATTCTTGGCCCCGATAGCAAGGGTGGGCATGAAAGGTACCTGGGAAATTGCTGGGTAAAATATGAATGTTATACACAGAATCAGTCATTATATTGCCTAGTGCAGGGGGCTAAACCCTTAGACATTTCCGAACCCCACCCAGCAAAACAATGAATCCTCCATGTATTCATGGAAGGAGAGAGCAAACTACTGCTATGTGGAAGCAACGCTGTTAAGTCTGTTTGATGCAATCTCCTGTCATGAATACATGGAAGACTCTAGCCCCCCATAGAGAGGGGGGGGATTGCAGAAGGGACAGCCCCCTACATTAGACAATATGCTCAATAATTTTGTGTAGCCTATTCATATATTACCCCACAATCTGACTGGTACCTTTCATACCCTTCCTTGCTATAAGGGCCAAGCTTGTAACTAATGGGCAATGGGGGGAAGGGGGGGTCCATACATTAAAACCTACATATATGCATTGTAGACGCTGAGAGGAATCCAACAATACCATATTGCTGCAGTCTGTTTAGTGGAACTATTTGATAAATTACCAATACCAGAATTCAGTGTGTGTTATGCGCTCATTAGCTCCTTGCGCATTATTATTGAGATTGAGATTATGAGAGATTACTATCATGCATAAACCCTTTTTGACCACTTATTTCCATGACTTTCTTTACTATACCCCAGCCCAAGCACTTAAATTCTCTCAAAAATGTATTTCTGAAGATTGTATTTCTTTCATTAGCAGACACAGAGTAAAAACTAGAAAGTCAGCTTACTAACTGATGACAAATACTATCAAAATAAAAATCCTAGTAGCCTTCATATCTAAACTGCATTCCAGGATAAAAGACCAATGAACTCTGTGACCCACATCATAACCATCCTAATTAGCATATATGTATGTACTCAAAATTCAATACTAATTAGCATTTTCCTATTTCCTCGCATAACTGATACTCGAATTTACCACAAGGCGAATGGAATACTTATACAAAGGCATGACATTGCCGAAAATACTAAAAATCTTTAAAGAAATTCTCGAGCCTCCACATCAGCTGATCACACACACAATTCCACGCCGGTTGTACCCACCCTCATCTTCTTTCCCCCTTTTTAGTAATTTAGAACTTCTGATACAAAATAAAACCCCTCTCTCTAGTTTCTCTGGGCGTTCCTTACCTTTGTCGACACCCGTCCTCTCGCATGC